CATACCTACACCCCCCTCCCCCAACGCCCTCTCGGAATATTTTTTCAGACCGCAGGAATCCGATGAGCTATGAAGCTCTTCTTCGCAGATCTCCAGCCGTTCCACAGATGTCCTCTCCTAACACCCCCCCCACCTCCTCCCCGTAGCTTTCCTCTCAGCGGCAAAGTGAATATCGCGCAAGCGATGGCTCAGGGCTACGGGACTGAGTGCACGGAGATTTGTGAGCGGATGCCACCTTCGTCATCGGCCGCGGTTCAGTCTACCGCTGGATGGGTACGTACTGTACGTACTGTACGTACGTCGCACGGGGCAGGGCTACGAGACGGCACGCGGTGCGCATGGAGACCGGCGGGAGACGTGCAGACTGGGGTATCTGTAGGTGGATCGCCCTGCGGTGTCCCCCTCTAGGGTAACAACAGTGCAGCTCTGCACGGGGGACTCTGCACACTCACACACACAGGGACCCCCAGGTGATGGGGGTGGGGGGGGACACGTGCAGTGGTTGGGACCTAGAACTCCGCACTTGCAATCGAGGGGTGGCCAGGTCGGTTTAATCTCCCACCCCCCACAGAGTGTGAGGCAGGTGTAGGAGGGTCCGTAGGTTTCCGTGTTCACATTCAAAATCAGTTTCAAGAGTGGCACAGCCTCGGCTAGTCACGTGGCCTGTTGTTTAAAACTAATTCACAGCTCGGCGCTGTGCGCGTTTTGCTCAGGATGGCTGACTTTTCTGTTTCCACGGGAATGAGAAAATGCATTCTGGCCGGTGTGTGTTCTCTGGTGCCGGCAAAGACTGGATGGGTCTGCAAACACCTTCTCACACACGGTGCACTTGAACGGCTTTTCTCCCGTGTGTGTTCTCTGGTGCCTGTGAAGATCTGATAGCTGTGCAAACGCCTTCTCACACACAGTGCACTTGAACGGCTTCTCTCCCGTGTGTGTTCTCTGGTGGCTGTGAAGATGTTGTAAATGTGCAAATGCCTTCTCACACACGGTGCACTTGAACGGCTTCTCTCCCGTGTGTGTTCTCTGGTGGCTGTGAAGATGTTGTAAATGTGCAAATGCCTTCTCACACACGGTGCACTTGAACGGCTTCTCTCCCGTGTGTGTTCTCTGGTGGCTGTGAAGATGTGATAGCCGTGCAAACGCCTTCTCACACACGGTGCACTTGAACGGCTTCTCTCCCGTGTGTGTTCTCTGGTGCTTCTTCAAGGTACTCTTGTAGTCTGTGCTGTATGGACATTGGTCACACTGATGACTTTTGTTACTGGGCTTAGTGGGGTGTCTGCTCTGCACGTGATACTGTAGACTCGAGCGGCAGATGAACTGACGGTTGCAGGCAGGACACGGCAGCCTTGTGACCTCCACACCCACTCCACCTGCGTCATCCCAGAGGAACAAGACACACGCGCACACACCAACATCTAGACATGAACACTCTTGCACACGTGTGTGTATACACAAAGGTAAGGTTTCCCACAGCCATATCAGACTGTTGGGCAAGTGCTGTTTGCGAGTACCTATGAAGGCCGGCATGGCACACGAGGGAGTAGGTGGCCAACACCAGGCCCGGCCGCCTTTGTCTCTCCAGTGGCGATGTTTCCACGTTTAAGCTAGGTACTCATTTGAGGCTGAGTCAGCCTAGGGGAGGCCTAAATATTCACCACTGACGTTGGCCGTGAGTGGGAATCGAACTCAGGTGGCCGGGTTCGTAGTGCAGTGGGCTCCATTATATATACACACAAAGACAAAGAACCCCCATATAGCCTGTATATACTTTTGGGACAAGTGCTGTTATGGGCACCAATGAAAGCCAACACGGCACACGAGTGGGAGGGTGGCCAGCACCAACACATAGCCGCCTTGTCTCCCCAGTGGCGATGTTTACTACTACACACCACACCAGTTACTCACTTCCACCTTATCAGTGTGGCTGGTGCCTATCATCTCTGGTGAGTGGTGGCTGTCATCTCTGGTGAGTGGTGGCTACCAACTCTGGTGAGATGTGGCTATCATCTCTGGTGAGTGGTGGCTATCATCTCTAGTGAGTGGTGGCTATCATCTCTGGTGAGTGGTAGCTACATCCACATCTCTGGTGAGATGTCGCTATCATCTCTGGTGAATGGTAGCTATCATCTCTACTGAGTGGTGGCTATCGTCTCTGGTGAGTAGTGGCTATCGTCTCTCGTAAGTGGTGGCTGCCATCTCTGGTGAGTGGTGGCTATCATTTCTGGTGCGTGGTGGCTATCATCTCTGGTGAGTGGTGGCTATCATCTCTGGTGAGTGGTGGCTATCGTCTCTCGTGAGTGGTGGCTATCATCTCTGGTGAGTGGTGGCTATAGTCTGGTGAGCAGTGGTGAGTCTCTGGTGAGCAGTGCTCACGGTGTTCCTCGCTTGGTGGAGGCTGCACGGGCTGCAGGTCTCTGGCGGTGGCCCTAGGAGCCATCTCGCTGCTGCTGCTGCTGCGGCGTCGCGAGGGCCCGGCCTCGCAGGCGATGCCCAGCTCCTGGGCGAACTCCTCGCCGTACCAGACCAGCAGCTCAGAGCCGGGCCCCACGGCACGGAATGTGCGGTAGTAAATCTGCCCCCGGTGCTGGAAGGCACCAGGTTCTGCTCCTGCTCATTCCTCGCGCAGTGACGAACCTGCGCGGGCAGACGCGGGGGCGGGGTGGGCGCCGTTAGCGAGCGCACTTTAAGGGCCGGCACTGGGCGCTACGTGGGGGTGGTGTGGCTGGAACCACGCTCCGTACGGGTGCTCATTTGATGCCGAGTCGACCAAGGGGAGGCCCAGGGTTGGTCTCTGTGTGTAGTGGGTCTGGTCTCTGTGTGTAGTGGTTCTTGTCTCTGTGTGTGGTGGTTCTGGTCTCTATGTGTAGTGGTTCTGGTCTCTGTGTGTGGTGGTTCTTGTCTCTGTGTGTGGTGGTTCTGGTTTCTGTGTGTGGTGGTTCTGGTCTCTGTGTGTGGTGGTTCTGGTCTCTGTGTGTAGTGGTTCTGGTCTCTGTGTGTGGTGGTTCTGGTCTCTGTGTGTAGGTTCGGTGGTTCTGGTCTCTGTGTAGTGGTTCTGGTCTCTGTGTGGTGTTTCTGGTCTCTGTGTGTAGTGGTTCTGGTCTGTGTGTGCTGGTTCTTGTCTCTGTGTGTGGTGGTTCTGGTCTCTGTGTGTAGTGGTTCTGGTTTCTGTGTGTAGTGGTTCTGGTCTCTGTGTGTAGTGGTTCTGGTCTCTGTGTGAAGTGGTTCTTGTCTCTGTGTGTAGTGGTTCTGGTCTCTGTGTGTAGTGGTTCTGGTCTCTGTGTGTAGTGGTTCTGGTCTCTGTGTGTAGTGGTTCTGGTCTCTGTGTGTGGTGGTTCTGGTCTCTGTGTGTGGTGGTTCTGGTCTCTGTGTGTAGTGGTTCTGGTCTCTGTGTAGTGGTCCTTCAGACAATAATCACCTCATCCAGTTGATTTAGATTCATCCTGAGCATCAACATATTCACGATCCTTTTTGTTTTTGTAAATCTGAAACACACACGCACACGAGCGGATCCACGGATAATTAATGTCAGTTGGACTGTAAGTTGAACTTCTTTCGTACCGCACGTAGCCAACCATGCTGATCGGAGGTGCGGGGGAAGGACAACAAACTAAACACTAAAAGCAGTTCTAAAGAAATGCATTTTCAATCTACAAGATTTTAAAGTGCATAGCTCCCAGTGGCTTCCTAACATTGGAAGGAAGAACCTTCCAGACGGCCGCAGAAGTGCATCTGTAAGCGCCGCGCCATGCGGTGACCACCGTCTTTGCTGTGTGTTACAAGTTCAAATAATTACGTTAATTTTTGGGTCTCTCTGTGATTCTGGGGGTCTTTGGGTGAGTCTCTAGGTCTCTGTACGAGTCTCTGGGTCTCTGTGCGAGTCTCTAGGGTATCTGTGCGACTCTGGGTCTCTGTGTGAGACTGTGGGTCTCTGTGCGATTCTCTTGGTCTCTGTGCGAGTCTCTGGGTCTCTGTGTGAGACTGTGGATCTCTCTGTGCGATTCTCTGAGCATCTGTGTGAGTATCTGGGTCTCTCTGTGTGAGTCTCTGGGTCTCTGTGTGAGTCTGTGTGTCCCACTGTGAGTCTCTGGGTCTCTGTTCAAGTCTCTAGGTCTCTGTGCAAGTCTGTGGGTCTCTCTATGCGAGTCTCTGGGTCTCTGTGCAAAGTCTCTGGGTCTCTCTGTGCCAGTCTCTGGGTCTCTGTGTGAGTCTGTGGGTGACTGTGTGAGGCTATGGGTCTCTGTGCGAGTCTATGGGTCTCTGTGTGAATCTATGGGTCTCTGTGCGAGTCTATAGGTCTCTGTGCGAGTCTATGGGTCTCTGTGCGAGTCTATGGGTCTCTGTGTGAGTCTATGGGTTTCTGTGCGAGTCTATGGGTCTCTGTGTGAGTCTATGGGTCTCTGTGAGTCTCTGGGTCTCTCTGTGCCAGTCTCTAGATCTCTGTGTAAGTCTGTGGGTGACTGTGTGAGGCTATGGGTTTCTCTGCATCTCCTTCACGAGCCTCCTCTCCACACACACGATGATGATGTAGGAATAGGAGGAGGCTGCAGCAGTAGCAGCAGCAGCTCACCAGCCAGCAGTACTCGCTCACGGGGTTCTCCTCAGACACCTCTCCCTGGTAGGGCCCAAAATCACCCCCTTGGGCAGCTTCTTCCTGTTGCTCCACACCCCGAGGCCGGCGCCGGCGATGGAGGAGGCGCCGACGGTGAGGCCCTGGGGCAGGCTGAGCCGGGCCCTGTTGGCCACTCCCGGGGCCACGGCCGCGTCTGCAATGAACTCTGGCGGGCCGTGCACGGAGCACTCCCCCAGGTAGAAATCCCTGCACAGCTCGCAGACTGAGAGCCACAGCAGCAGCAGCAGGAGGAGGGCGAACCGCAGTAGCAACAGCAGCAGCAGCAGTGGCACTGTGAGAGAGTGAGAGGGTGAGGAGCGCTCCAGACAGATGCCTCCTTTCCTCCCTCTCTGCATTGTGAACTTCTTTAGCTCGCTCATCGGAGATGTAAACCCTGTCACCCTCCCTGCTCCCTCCCTGCATCCCTGAGTGAGGGAGCAAAAGACAGGGAGGTAAGTGAGAGTGCGAGAAAGGGAGCGTGTGAGAGGGAGGGAAAGGGAGAGAGAGTGAGAGGGAGCAGGTGGAATATATCGAGTGAGAGCGCGGGAGCAATAGAGAGAGATAGGAGAGAGTGTGAGAAAGTTAGAGTAAGGGGCCGTCCATAAATGACTTCATGCACCTAGGGGGGTGGGGGGGTCAGACATTTGTGACGATGTGTGAGGAACCACAGACAACACGTTCTACTTAATTAAATACTTTTTAATAAATGTTTTCTCCTACAACATCAGACTGCAGTGCCACATTAAATATGCACTACAATGACAATAGTTTGAAGCGATTTTAAGCATATTAAATGAGCTTTGTGACGTCACATTTGAGGGGGGGGTCTGACTTTTTGTGATGTCGTGTGATGGGGGGGAGGGGGGTCCAAAATCGCGTGACGCCATTAATGGACGGCCCTAAGAGAGTGTGAGAAAGTGACAGTGTGAGAGAGAGTGTGAGAAAGTGACAGTGTGAGAGAGAGTGTGAGAAAGTGACAGTGTGAGAGAGAGTGTGAGAAAGTGACAGTGTGAGAGAGAGTGTGAGAAAGTGACAGTGTGAGAGAGAGTGTGAGAAAGTGACAGTGTGAGAGAGAGTGTGAGAAAGTGACAGTGTGAGAGAGAGTGTGAGAAAGTGACAGTGAGAGAGAGAGAGTGAGAAAGTGACGGTGTGAGAGAGAGTGTGAGAAAGTGACAGTGAGAGAGAGAGTGTGAGAAAGTGAGAGAGAGAGTGAGAGGGAGCAGGGGGTCTCACAGAAGAAGTCGTCGTCCTGGGGCTCCTCCACCTCTGTGTAGACTTTCCTCTCGCGCGGGCGCAGGCCGTAGCGAGAGCGAGCGCTGCGCGACACCGCCACAGCCTGGGCGGAGGCCGGCGGCACGGAGGAGCCTGCAGGCAAACACGGCGAGATGTTGACTACCTCTCGTGGTATACGGGAGGTCGTGGGTTCCATCCCGACCCTGACGAAGCCTGCTGTATATTTGGAGTCTGCGTGTCTCTCTCTCCTCCGTGGCGAGATGTTAACTCCCTCGCATGGTCTACAGGAGGTCGTGGGTTCCATCCCGACTGTATAGTTTACAACATGTTACCCTATTTGTATTTTTGTATTTTTAGATTGTATATTATGGCTAGTTTACATTTTATATTGTACACTTATTCACAATTTTACATACTTTAGCCCCTTAGTATTAGTTAGACTTTGTAATTTTAGTATAGTTTGACTGTATACCACTCATTTCAGTTTTAAGATTCCTACATGTTGAATGTATGCACCTTCCGGCCATAGTAAATTCCTTGTCTGTGCAAACTTTCATGGCGAATACCTCCCCGTGGTTGCGTGGATTTTTCTCCGGGTCCTTCGTTTTTTTCCCTCGACATATAGAACCAACGTCATGCGTTGAGAATATTTGGCTGCTATAATGTCCACGTAATGACGATGATGACAAGTCACTTCGTTGAGCTCTTATTTGTGATAGCCAGTCGCTTCTGAAAAACAGCTACACAGCTCAGTGGGGCACACCCTGGTTGCTAATCCTGCATAATGCACGGGCATAAGTAGTATTAATCACATACCTGCATTTCCCATATCCCCTCCCTTTGATGCTGCTAGTCCTGCATAATGCACGGGCATAAGTAGTACTAATCACATACCTGCATTTCCCATATCCCCTCCCTTTGATGCTGCTAATCCTGCATAATGCACGGGCATGAGTAGTACTAATCACATACCTGCATTTCCCATAAATATGCTAAATGCCTCTTGATATGCATATTCTTTTGTCAAGGCGCTCTTTTCCCCCCTTCCAACCCAGCTTATATATATGCTCCAAGCACGTGTGCTGTATCATTCAGACGCTGTCGCCTCGACAGACCTGGTTTTCACCTGAGGACGGCTGCTTGCGTTGTGGCCGAAACGTCGTGAGAATTGTTTTGTTATGTTTTATTTTTATTATTTTATTACTTCCCTTCTACGTGACTTTACCGAAAGAACCAATAAGAAAAATAAACATCGTTTAGTTCATAGGCTGCATCAGTACCAGCAGCAGCCCTGACAGGAGCACATGTAGCAGTAGCATCAACAGCAGTGGCGACTTCCATCAGCACTAACAGAAGATTGCGGAGTTCCGGTGAGAATAGAGGGGAGCGTGGAGTTCCGGTGAGAATAGAGGGGAGTGTGGAGTTCCGGTGGGAATAGAGGGGAGTGTGGAGTTCCGGTGGGAATAGAGGGGAGTGTGGAGTTCTGGTGAGAATAGAGGGGAGTGTGGAGTTCTGGTGGGTATAGAGGGGAGTGTAGAATTCCGGTGAGAATAGAGGGGAGTGTGGGGTTCCGGTGAGAATAGAGGGGAGCGTGGAGTTCTGGTGAGAATAGAGGGGAGTGTGGAGTTCCGGTGAGAATAGAGGGGAGTGTGGAGTTGCGGTGGGAATAGAAATCACCGCTGCAGGCTACGCACCTCCACGTATCCTCTGGAGCGCCACCCTCAGGGCCTCCTTGCAGGCGGTGGCTCTGCGCTCCAGCCTGAACATCGCCATCCTGGCCTTGTGCACCTCCCTCAGCTCAAATCCCCTGAACTCCTCCTCCTGCTGCTCCTCCTCCTCCACGCCCTGCAAGATGCTCCACACGTACTCCAGGGCTTCCGCTTTAGTCTGAGCGGAGGGGGCGGTGGGGTGAGGGGGCGGAGGGGGTGTGGGGGCGGAGTTGGTGCGGTGACCAGCGGTGGCTAGGAGATGTTAACTCCCTCGCCTGGTACGCAGGAGGTCGCGGGTTCCATCTCGACCCTGACACCTCATCGGATTCCTCCAGTACAATACATATTTTAATTCTGATATTCTGAATCTGTAAATCTGATTCCATACATCAAGCAGAACCATGCCGTCATGCTGAACCTCGGTGGGTATGGCAGGCCATGCCTCTTCACAACTCAACTAATTAATAAACTAATTATAATAATGTAGTGGACACCGTGACGACAGAGACAGTTGAAGTAGAGGCAACCCATATTTATTAACTCTGAGCCCGTTACAGCTTCACACTTGAAGAGGTAACGGCCTCTTCACCCGTTCTCTCAAGGGAGCTAACTCCCCAAGCTAACTCACCGACTCCCCACCAATACTACGACCCTCCTCTCAAGGAGACTACCTGACCTGGCCCAGCCAAGGCACAGGTCCTGACCACCAGCCACACGAATCCGGCCCTTACAAGGACATCAGCCTTCGCGGCTCTGGGGTCGCACCACTGGCTTGCTCTGCCCGGCCTTTAGAAGGACAGCGGGTCAGAGGAGTCCCAGGGTCTAGCTAGCTGGACTTCAGCTGGTTCTTCGTCCTTGGCTTGTTCGAACTAACTCTCTCCTCTCAGAGTCTCGCCTTTTATACGATTCCCCACTGAGGGGCGGGGTTCTGTGGGATCACACACACCCCACAGCCCCCTCCCCTCGGGAGGGGCCCCGGCTAGGGATATCACAACCGCCCCGCACAGGTAAGTAATGGGAGTTAACCGGAGCTGGTGTGCGCGCGTTCCAATACCACCACCACCACAATAATGACGCACGTCTCTGGTATAATTATATAGAAATTACTTTTATAACACAGACCAGTGGAACATTTTTTTGTACTTTTCGTAACAGCTATTTTCATTGGAGTATATGACAGGTGAGGCTCTGCCTCGCCCGTCTCCCCTGACCGCACGTCCCTGGTATAGCAGTGTCTAGTAGTATGTATGTACGTTGAATGTCTTTGTCACCGTACGTAGCCAACCTCGCTAATGGGAGGTGCGGGGGAAGGACAACAAACTAAAGACAACAGCAGCAGCAGCTGTAACGAGAGGAGTGCCGTGCGCTGTGCACAGAGACCTTGCGCTTGCTGGAAGCTGCCCTCGCGTGAGACTCTCCCACGGTGGCCCAGCGTGAAGCAGCCCCCTTGCCTCCTCCTGCGTGAACACACGCACACACGTGAACACACGCACACACGTGAACACACGCACACACGTGAACACACGCACACACGTGAACACACGTGTGAACACACGGACACGCATGAACATATGCAAGGACAAAGCTCCCCCGTATAGCCTTAACAGACTGTAGGGGCAAGTGCTGTTAGTGAGCACCTATGAAGGCCAGAACGGTACACGAGGGGGTGGGTGGCCAGCACCACGCCCGACCGTCTTTGTCTCCCCAGTGGTGATGTTTACACACCGCACCAGGTACTCAGTTGAGGCTGAGCCGACATAGGGGAGGCACAGGACCGGTTCAAATAATCGTCACTGGTGTTGACCGTGAGCGGGAATCGAACCCGGGTCGCCGGGTTCATAGCGCAGCGCGCTAACCGCTACACTACCGCTCCCCATATGCACACGCGTTAACACACGCACACACGTGTGAACACACGGAAATGCATTAACACACACACACACGTGTGAACACACCCACACGCGTATTTACGCATGAAAACATTTACTCACTCACATATTTACCAAAAAGTCAATGATCTCCCCTGTGCCGCCTTAACAGACTGTTGTCACAGGACAGAACCAGGTGCCATGCCATGGGTTGACTGTTGTGCCAGGCTAGGTGCAGGTCACGAGACGGACCCTGCAGGTGCCATAGGTTTACTGAGATGACTGCCAGATGCACCACCTGTGCCCGCGACTGTGCCAACTCGGTCCACAATTAAAAAGATGCCCCGTGTAGCCTTCACAGACTGTTGCGGTCAAGTGCTGTCAGCAAGCAGCATCTACGAAGGCCAGCACGGCACACGGGGGGATGGGCAGCTAGCAACACGCCCGACCGTCTTTGTCTCCCCAGTTGTGATGTTTACTACACACCACTGCACCGGGTACTCATTTTGACGCTGAGTCAACCTAGGGGAGGCTCAGGACCAGTTCGGATCGTCGTCACTGGTGTTGGCCGTGAGCGGGCATTTAACTTGGTTCCGCTGGTGATTACAACCAGCTTCATCAAGCGAGTCTACAGGGGTCTCTGCGTGAGTCTACAGGGGGTCTCTGTGTGAGTCTACAGGGGTCTCTGCGTGAGTCTACAGGGGGTCTCTGTGAGTCTACAGGGGTCTCTGTGTGAGTCTACAGGGGTCTTTGTGTGAGTCTTCAGGGGGTCTCTGTGTGAGTCTACAGGGGGTTTCTGTGTGAGTCTACAGGGGTCTCTGCGTGAGTCTACAGGGGGTCTCTGTGTGAGTCTACAGGGGGTTTCTGTGTGAGTCTACAGGGGGTCTCTGTGTGAGTCTACAGGGGGTCTCTGTGTGAGTCTACAGGGGTCTATGTGAGTCTACAGGGGGTCTCTGTGTGAGTCTACAGGGGTCTCTGCGTGAGTCTACAGGGGGTCTCTGTGTGAGTCTACAGGGGGTCTCTGTGTGAGTCTACAGGGGGTCTCTGCGTGAGTCTACAGGGGATCTCTGCATGAGTCTACAGGGGGTCTCTGCGTAAGTCTACAGGGGTCTCTGTGTGAGTCTACAGGGGTCTCTGCGTGAGTCTACAGGGGTCTCTGTGTGAGTCTACAGGGGGTCTCTGCGTGAGTCTACAGGGGGTTTCTGTGTGAGTCTACAGGGGTCTCTGCGTGAGTCTACAGGGGGTCTCTGTGTGAGTCTACAGGGGGTTTCTGTGTGAGTCTACAGGGGTCTCTGTGTGAGTCTACAGGGGGTCTCTGTGTGAGTCTACAGGGGGTCTCTGCGTGAGTCTACAGGGGGTCTCTGTGGGAGTCTACAGGGGGTCTCTGTGTGAGTCTACAGGGGGTCTCTGCGTGAGTCTACAGGGGGTCTCTGCGTGAGTCTACAGAGGGTCTCTGTGTGAGTCTACAGGGGGTCTCTGTGTTAGTCTACAGGGGGTATCTGTGTGAGTCTATAGGGGTCTCTGCGTGAGTCTACAGGGGGTCTCTGCGTGAGTCTACAGGGGGTCTCTGCGTGAGTCTACAGGGGGTCTCTGTGTGAGTCTACAGGGGGTCTCTGCGTGAGTCGAGAGGGGGTCTCTGTGTGAGTCTACAGGGGTCTCTGTGTGAGTCTACAGGGGTCTCTGTGTGATTCTACACAGGGTCTCTTTGTGAGTCTTCAGGGGGTTTCTGCGTGAGTATACAGGGGGCCTCTGTGTGAGTCTACAGGGGTCTCTGTGTGAGTCTACAGGGGGTCTCTGTGTGAGTCTACAGGGGGTCTCTGCACGGTCTGCAAGCGCCCTTTTACGTTTGCCTCTTCGTCCTCCGTGCATCGCCACCTCCTTCCTCTTCCTCCTCCCCGTCCACTCCTCGTCGGAGTCGCTCGACCGCCCGCACTCCGCTCTATTCCCCCTCGCCCTGCGCTTGCCGCGTGCGCGCATGAACTCGGGCTGGGCCGGGTTCATCCCTGCGCAAGGAGGCAGTCGGTCATTGTTATTTGTACGTATTGGCAGTACACCCGTGCAGCATAGCAACACACCGGGTCCTCGTAACACAGTCCTGACGATGTGATTACTATCAGAGCGTGTTTGTTTGCGTGTTCAACACAAGTACGCGTGGTTAATGCAGTAACTTGATTCCTTGCAAAAAGGAATCATCTATTTGGTGTGTGAACATCTTAACAGCTCCTGTTTTATTGCCAGAAAGGGTAAAACCGATTCCTATTTTTTATACTTTGATTCTGGCAAAAAGGTCCAATGATATAGCTACTCACCCCGAGCTATAAATGCTCTTGACACTACATTGTCTTTGTACTGGTCGCCTTTTGGTGTTGTTCTCTGGTCTGACACTGGTGAGACTAGGCCATGAAGAAGGCTGTCTCTGGGGTAGACCAATCAGTATCAAAGACAATGATTAAATGTTATCAGAGAGTGTTTGTTTGCATGTTCAGTACGCGTGGTTAATGCAGTAACCTGATTCCTTGCAAAAGCTATAATCTATCTGGTGTTTGAACATCTTAACACCTCCTGTTTCATTCCCATAAAGAGTAAAACCGATTCTTATTTTTCATAGTCCCGACGATGTCGCCGTTGCCCCTTGAGTGAGCTGCAGGACTCTCCATCAGAAGTTGCACTCAGATTCAGCAGCCGCGTCCCCCATTCCGAACGTGCGGTGGCGACACCACGAGTCGTATCGAGGCACCGTCCGACCGAGTCTCTAGGGGCACGAGGAGTCCAATCTTGCCACTGGAGCACGGAGCAGCCGATCGTCATCAGACTGGGCGCCGCTGTACGGCAACAGACTGCGAAGCTTCGTGTTCAGTGCTGCTCATGTCACGTTCCGTCTTCCCACCGCTTTGGCATCACGACAACTGATTTTGACGCACCACCACCACCCCAAAATATCCTTCTGTCTGGGGTCTCGAATCGCGAGGAAATAAATAACTTTTGCCAAAAATGTGATGATTATTTCATACAGCGCAACGGTGTACCGCTACTACGTTCATTTATATTATTTGGCTGCTACAATAACTCCAAGCAATACAGTAAACACGATAGGAGTGCAAAGTATAGAAAAGGTAAACAAATTACACACACACAAAATACATTTTTTTGTAAATATTCTTTGGTTCTTTCGGCAAAGTCACGTAGATAGAAAAATAAAGTGAATAAAAATAATCAAAAACCACAAAAACGTTCATCCTCACTGATGTTGCTGACTGGTATCTTAGCGCTTTTGAGGGTTGCAGCAATTTCAGATCTTGTAACGTCTGCAGCGATGCGCCCCAAACCCTTAAGAGCGACATCGACCTGGGCAATAACGTCATCCACTGGAATGTGTTTGGGGGTGACTGAGAAGTTCAACCCTTTAGCCAAAACCGACTTTAGACCATCGCACATTGGGCTATTACTCAGATTAATAACAACCTTGTCAACGTCTAACCTTTTAACGTGTGGATCTGGTTTCTTGTTAGAAAGGAGGTTGAACTCGAAAATCAGATCTTTACATTTCGCTGACATTGTAGTGGCTGATTAAGCGGTCATGTTATCTACATGTTCCCAATCAGATGTCGACATTTTTCCCGTCAATGTTAAGTGTGATTTCAAGAGTGTCTTGTCTACATGATCTAGTTCAGTATGGAGCAGTCTAATTCTCTCTGAGATCAGGGCCAAGCTCGCCCTGAACAAAATTCGTCTGGCATTGGAAGATGTGACTGCAGCAGAAATCAGTGTCAATGAGATCGGTATTACGTTAGAGTCACGGCATCTCTTCAGAAATGTGAGTGACTCGATCAGATGAACTTTCTTGTCACGGAGATTGTTAAAAGATCTCATGGTTATGTGGAAACCCTCCCAATAGAGGCAGTTCAAATGATACAAATTAAGTGAATAAAAAATTATAAAAATAAGACACTAATTAGACTGCTCCATAAAAAAAACACTAATGTATACATTTCAATTTAAAGCTTTCGTGACTGCAGGGATTCATCTTCTTGGTTCTTTCGGTAAAGTCACGTAGAAGGGAAATAATAAAATATTAAAAAGAAAACATTAAAATTGTATTTTAATAATTGTATTTTATGTTTTTTTCCCTTCTATGTGACTTTACCGAAAGAACCAAGAAGACTAATTTATAACTCAAAAGTTTTGATTATACATGAGTGCTTTATCATTTTTATTATTCACTTTATTTTTATTTTAGTTTTTCTATCTACGTCACTTTATCGAAAGAACCAAAGAATATGAATTCCTGCAGTCACGAAAGTTTTAAGTCAAAATAAACTATTTTTGTAAATGTTGTGGGTTTACTCTCCAACATTATGAATCCGTAGGTAAAAAATAAAATTTAAATTAATAAAAGTACTTTTATAAATTTTAATTTTACTTTGATTAATTTTAATTTTATTTTTTACCTACGTGACTAGAATTATGAATCCGATGAGCTATGAAGCTCTTTTTCATAGATGTCCCATAGGGGGCACGGGGTCAGAAAGTTACAACACAAAACACAAACACGATAGGCGTGCAAAGTAGAGTAAAGGTAAACAAATCATTAAACTAAAACTAAATCTATTTTTACTTCACCAGGTGAAGTCCACTGAGCTATTGGCTCCTTCTTCAGAAGCGACCTGGCTGCCACAAATGACAGCTCAACCAAGTGGCTTACCACGTGGACATTTATAGCAGCAGACAAATACTCTAAACGCGTGATGTTGATTCTACAAGTGGAGCAAAAACCCGGAGGACCGGGATCTAACCCACGACCTCCTGTAGACCATGAGAGGTAGTTAACATCTCACCGGGGAGAGACACACGCAGACTCCAGATATATGACAGGCATCGTCAGGGTCGCCATCGAACCCACGACCTCCTGTAGACCAGGCGAGGTAGTTAACATCTCGCCACCATGGCGCCCCATGCATGCCACTCTGCTACGACGTCTTGGTCTCATCATTATAATCACTGCGACAATTAGTTGAGTTGCGAAGAGGCTCGGCCTGCCGTACCCACCGAGGTTCAGCAGGACGGCGTGGTTCTGCTTGATGTTCCTGTAGCGCCGCTTCTCGCACTCGGCCAGATCGCTCCACTCGGCCTTGGTGAAGAAGCCTCTGATGTCTCGGAAGTCGCCCATCTCCTGCTGCTGCTGCTGCTGAGGCGCAGAGACACGGAGGGACGAGACGCGGACGACGGTCAGATGCAGTCACGGAGATGGAGTCACACGGAGACAGAGTCACAGGGAGACAGAGTCACAGGGAGACAGAGTCACATGGAGACAGAGTCACATGGAGACAGAGTCACATGGAGACAGAGTCACATGGAGACAGAGTCACATGGAGACAGAGTCACATGGAGACAGAGTCACATGGAGACAGAGTCACATGGAGACAGAGTCACAGGGAGACAGAGTCACAGGGATACGAGACTAAGATCCCCCGTGTGGCCTTAACAGACTGTCGGAAGGCGAGGTAACTCTACCTCAAGCGATGTAATATAACGTTAGGTCGAGGTAACATTACCTCAGGCAGAGGTAAAATTACGTCAGCTAAGGTAACATTACCTCACCTGAGGTAACATCACCTCAGATGAGGTAACATCACCTCAGGTAAATGTAACATTACTTGAGGTAATCCGAACGTGTTCACATCACTTCAGCTAATGTTCATATTTTTACGCTAATATCGTAAAATCGTCACGTGGTTAAATCGTTAAACACAACGCTCGCGTGACGTCACCACCTCAGTGTCGAGCCGTCGACACTTCACGCGGCAGCCTCGAAGTGCACCCAGCCTGGCACAGGCGCCGTGGTGACGTCACCGTCACTGAGTGGCCAATGGCGGCGATTGGCGGTGGTGGGAGGGGAGTGGGGGGGGGGGTGATGGGGTGGGGGGAGTGGGGGGTGGGGGGGAGTGGGGGGAGTGATGGGGTGGGGGGGAGTGGGGGGTGATGGGGTGGGGGGGAGTGGGGGGGGGTTTATAATTATCGGAGTCGCAAAAGTTGCTACAAATGCTACGGGCCCCGCACTTTCAAGGGCCCCGCGCTAAATGCTTTCAAGATATCAATTCGGGTTAATTGATTCTGCACTTGCTCTATTACTATAGTACTGTACAGACTTCAACTTTTTTTTTTATGAACGACTGGGTGTTTAAGGTTAGCGATTAGTCGTATTATCCGGCTGTATAGCAAATGAAAAAATACAAATACTTTACTGTGCAAGTAAAAAATGTGTTTTAATGTTTACGTTTTAAAAAAAATTATTGGGCCCCTTTCTAGCACATGCTACAGGCCCCGAACTAACTTTATCCGGCACTGAGGGTAAGGTAATCAGAATGTGATGCAATCCGTATCAAATCACGTTATATTATAAGGTAATCTTCACCGCGACATTCTCATTCAGTGCAAAGTAAATCTTGTACAATTAATTAGTCGCTCGTGTCAACACTGTACGAGATGTGTAGCTGTAATCGTAACGTGAAGTCGTCTCGTAGCGTAAATCTTACACGATTTAAAATTCGCGTGAGATAGAATCCTCACTTGACTACTGGTAGGAACCTCCTGGTTACACCAGCCCACAGGGGATTAATGTGTCCGTCCGTCCGTCGTGTAGGGAGGGGCTGGGTGGGGAGGGAGGGGCTGGGTGGGGAGGGTGGGGATGGTTGGGGAGGGGAGGGGCTGGGTGGGGAGGGTGGGGCTGGGTGGGGAGGGTGGGGCTGGGTGGGGTGGGGCTGGGTGGGGAGGGAGGGGCTGGGTGGGGAGGGTGGGGCTGGGTGGGGGGAGGGGTGGGGAGGGAGGGGCTGGGTGGGGAGGGTGGGGCTGGGTGGGGAGGGAGGGGCTGGGTAGGGAGGGTGGGGCTGGGTGGGGGGTGGGGATGGGTGGGGAGGGAGGGGCTGGGTGGGGGGTGGGGAGGGAGGGGCTGGGTGGGGGGTGGGGAGGGGCTGGGTGGGGCTGAGTGGGGGGGGCTGGGTGGGGGGTGGGGAGGGAGGGGCTGGGTGGGGGGTGGGGAGGGGCTGGGTGGGGCTGAGTGGAGGGGGCTGGGTGGGGGGTGGGGAGGAGCTGGTCACCCCGTGGTGCCCTTAGTAACCTCAGGTCGAGATAACATTACCTCAGGTGAGGTAACTTTACCTCAAATGAGGTAACTTTACCTCATGCGAGGTAACATTACCTCAGGCGATGTAACTTTACTTCAGACGAAGTAATATAACGTTAGGCCGAGGTAACTTTACCTCAGGTGATGTTACTTTACTTCAGACGAAGTAATATAACGTCAGGCCGAGGTAACTTTACGTCAGGTAAGGTAACATTATCTCAAATGAGGTAACTTTACCTCAGCTGAGGTAACTTTATCTTAGGCGAAGTAAAATTACTTCAGGTGAGGAAACTTCACCTCAGGTAGAGGCAACATTACCCCAGGTTAGTTAACTTTACCTCAGGCGAGGTAACTTGACCTTAAGTGAGGTAACTTTACCTCACATAGAGGTAACATTACCTCAGGTAAATGTAACATTACTTGAGGTAATCCGAACGTATTCACATCACTTGAGCTAATGCCCATATCGTAATATTCTCACGTAGTTAAATCATTAAACACAATTATCGCGTGATTATTACCTCAGGGTTACATAATCGGAATTCAATGGAAGGCGAGGTAACTTTACCTCACGTGAGGTAACTTTACCTCAAGCGATGTAATATAACGTTAGGTCGAGGTAACATTACCTCAGGCAAAGGTAAAATTACGTCAGGTAAGGTAACATCTCAAATGAGGTAACTTTACCTTATGCGAGGTAAAATTACCTCAGGTAAATGTAACATTACTTGAGGTAATCCGAACGTATTCACATCACTTCAGCTAATGCTCATATCTTTACGCTAATATCGTTAAATCGTTAAACACAACGCTCGCGTGACGTCACCACCTCAGTGTCGAGCCGTCGACACTTCACGCGGCAGCCTCGAAGTGCACCCAGCCTGGCACAGGCGCCGTGGTGACGTCACCGTCACTCAGTGGCCAATGGCGGCGGTTGGTGGTGGGGGGGGGAGTGGGGGTGGGGGGGGGAGTGGGGGGTGGGGGGGGAGTGGGGGGGAGTGGGGGGTGGGGGGGGGCGGAATGGCGGTTGGGGGTGTGGGGGGTGGGGAAGAGGGGGACGAGGGGGTGGGGGTGAGTGGGGGCGGAATGGCGGTTGGTGAGTGGTGGGAGGGGGGAATTGAGGGTGGGAGGGGTGGGGGGAGTAGGGGGTGGGAGGGGTGGGGGGGGTGGGGTGAGTGATGGGGTGGGGGGAGTGGGGGTGGGGGGAAGTGGCGGGGAGTGAAGGGGGGTGATGGGGTGGGGGGAGTGGGGGTTGGGGGGGGTGATGGGGTGGGGGGGTGATGGGGTGGGGGGTGTGGGGGGAGTGATGGGGTGGGGGGGAGTGATGGGGTGATGGGGTGGGGGGAGTGGGTGGGGGTTTTATACTGGTAGGAACGAAGTGGACCAGACCACCAATAGATTAATGTGTCTGTCCGTCCGTCCGTCCGTCTGACTGTCCGTCCGTCCGTCCGTGTATCAACATCGCCCCCTACTGCAAACACTTGGCATGACCCTACAAAAACCTTTAGACTCAGTTACGCTATCCTGGTAGCAACATCGCCCCCTACTGCAAACACTTGGCAGGACACTACAAAAACCTTTTGACTCAGTGGGGCTTTCCTGGCTTAACAAGTGTAATAATAAACTTCGCTTCAAATTTACTTTACTGAAACGCAGCACGTTTTATTAACACAGAGACAAGATACATTTATTAACACAGAGACAAGATACATTTAATCGCCTTATTTGTGCACGAAAAGCACGGCGCGAGGCCTACTGCTGAGAAGGCTTCGCGAGGCCTAGTGCAGAAGGCTTCGCGAGGCCTACTGCAGGAGGCTTCGCGAGGCCTATTGCAGAGAAGGCTTCGCGAGGCCTAGTGCAGGAGGCTTCGCGAGGCCTACTGCAGGAGGCTTCGCGAGGCCTAGTGCAGGAGGCTTCGCCAGGCCTACTGCAGGGAAGGCATCGCGAGGCCTACTGCAGGGAAGGCATCGCAAGGCCTACTGCAGAGAAGGCTTCGCGAGGCCTACTGCAGAGAAGGCTTCGCGAGGCCTAGTGCAGAAAGCTTCGCGAGGCCTACTGCAGGAGGCTTCGCGAGGCCTACTGCGACAGGCTTCGCGAGGCCGTCCCTCTGTCTGACAAGATGGCCGCCCGCTCCCCCTGCGATCCGTGAACTAAATGAACTAAACAAGATGGCCGTCGCATCCGGCGCAGCCAATGACATCGCCTGTTGCAATTCTTGCTCTGTGGGCGCGCGAGTCAGTGGGGAGGGGGGTGTTGACGTCATCGCTCTGTGGGCTCGCGAGTCAGTGGGGAGGGGGGTGTGGACGTCATTGCTCTGTGGGCTCGCGAGTCAGTGGGGAGGGGGGTGTTGACGTCATTATTAAATAATAAAATAATACAAAGAAACCTTTTACTTATTATTTTTATTTTCATTAGTTTATTATTAAATAGCATTTTTATTTTAATAATAAAATTTTACAATTACTTTTTTGTTTTATTATTATTTTTTTATTATTTCCATCTTACGTGACTTTACCGAAAGAACCAAGCAGATGAATCCCTGCAGTCACGAAAGCTTTAAATCGAAATGACCACCGCGTTACAGGAGAACAACAGATCGTGAACGCGCTTCGACGATTCATGGCAACGGCAACACAAAGCGCCACGCGCAGTCTCTTGCGACCTGCTGTGGAGTGACTCATGCAGCCAGCTATGGCTGCAGGGTTTTGGTAGTACATGTTGTTTATGCCATTTATTGTGAAAATTCCGTCACAGTTCCTATGATTGCTTTTTCATTGCTTTCATGGCTTTATTTTGGTGATTTCGAAAAGTGTATTGGTTTAGCCATGTTTGTGTTGTTGTAGTACAGAGTTAGACTGATGGCCTTAATCTAAGTTGTCTTGTGGTTGTTGTTGTTGTTTGACTTGCATCCCACTGGGATTTTTGCACACAGCGTTGGTGTACGGTGTTTTTTCTGCAATATTTTTGCTGTCTTTCTGTTTGCACTTAGTCACATATTCACTTTAAGATGTTTTTTGTTCATGTTTTTTGTTTTTTGTTTGTTGCGGTTGCACCCGATTCAAGAGCTGAATGGCTCACAGGGCTATACCTAATAAATGAACTTGAAATGAACTTGAAACCAGCGGTGTCTGCCCTTTAACCCCTGACCCCCCCGTCCAGCTCTTCCCCGCGCGTGCGATTGGTGCGTGTTGTCGTGAGAGCGGAGATGTCGTGTTTGCGTGGTGCGTGAGGGTGGCTCGCAGATCCCTTAAAGTGCTTGAACCATTCTCCGACTCCTCTTCATATGTAATCTGACCGCTCAAAAAGAGCGAGTTTTATTCCTTAAAAAACACGATACTTTTTTCAAATAGGCATCCCAATTTATTCTAAACCATGTTCCATGATTGATGCAATGTTGGAATGCTGCTCAAATACCGTTCCTAAATTAGACATAAAGGGTATCTGGAATGAGCAGAGCATTCGTTTAATTGCGAGCAATTTGGGACGAGGGTAACTCGACGACGGTGTCCTTATTTTTTTCTTCTTGGTTCTTTCGGTAAAGTCACGTAGAAGGGAAGTAATAAAATAATAAAAATAAAACAATAAAATAATATATTATTTTATAATAAAAATAAAACATAATAAAATAATATATTATTTTATTGTTTTATTTTTATTATTTTGTTACTTCCCTTGTACGTGACTTTACCGAAAGAACCAAGAAGATGAATCCCTGCAGTCACGAAAGCTTTAAATCGAGGTGTCCTTATTAATAACAAAACCCCTGTGCACGACTGTCCGAGCTCTTTGCAAGCAAGTGGGTGGCTCTGAAAAGAGCCGTTGTTGTGGTGGTAGAGGCGGCGGCGCGTTCACTTCTTTGCCTGAGAGGTCTTCTTGGGCAGCAGCACGGCCTGGATGTTGGGCAGCACACCGCCCTGGGCGATAGTCACGCCGCCCATGAGCTTGTTGAGCTCCTCGTCGTTTCGCACGGCGAGCTGCAGGTGTCGGGGGATGATCCTCGTCTTCTTGTTGTCGCGGGCGGCATTGCCAGCCAGCTCGAGGATCTCGGCAGAAAGGTACTCGAGCACGGCGGCCAGGTAGACGGGTGCTCCAGCGCCGACCCGCTGGGCGTAATTGCCCTTGCGGAGCAGCCTGTGAACGCGACCCACGGGGAACTGCAGGCCGGCGCGGGAAGAGCGGGACTTTGCCTTGGCGCGAGATTTGCCACCGGTCTTGCCGCGTCCAGACATCGTTAAGGGACCTAGGATGCAAAAAGCACTGGAGACAAAGTACGAACGATTTGTGACGTTAACACGCACCACGGGAGCGGCTTTTATAGCGGAGACGAGGATCGTAGAGCGCGCCGCTGCTGATTGGCTCCTCTCGCTCGAGTTCCGCCCTCTCCTTGAGCCACCAATGAAAAGCCGGGACGCGAGGATTCGATGTTGACTTTCATTATTCGTATCCATATATGTTTTAATGCGCACACGCATCTTACGAATTAAACAATGCGATACACGTACCTAATAGGTTCAAGTTTTAAGCATGATAGAGTTAATTTATGGGCGCGTGCTGGCAAGTCAAACTTATAAGCGGATTCCGCAAATATCAATGTATTATTGATTATAATCATCATTTTGAGGGACCGCATTGGTTATAAGAAATCATTGTGATAGCCTTGAGCTCGTGATTGATCGCCCACGTGCCTATACGGTGTATAGATATCTTTTTTTAACCGCCTGTTCGGGCAATGCCTAAAAATATATGTGCGTGAATAATTCAGTCTCAGTTTGCAAAATGTGAACTTCTTATCAGCTCGGGCTTGAAACAGCATAAACCAATATCTTTGGGTTTAATCTATATATATAAAATCGTGAATGTCTGTCTGTCTGTGTGTGGATGTCGGACCATACGCACTTTCATTGGACGCCGGTTGCCCCTGCCAACGCCTAGCGACGACTTCGCCGCTTTCATTGGACGCCGGTTGCCCCTGGCAACGGCTAGCGACGGGCTAGCAGTTGCGGGGTGGACGCCATCTTTAATTCCCGTTAAAAATAGGCGCACGCATTAACACGCGACTCTGAGGTAAATTCATCTAAGTTTCACGTCTTCTTTACTCCCCCCCCACCACAATGTGTGCTATTACTATTATAGGGTCGGTAGATTATTAAATTATAGCGATTACACAGTATTATTGTAGCGCGGTGGGGGGGGGGGGAAACGGCACCCGTACCCAGCGTCAGCCGGGTGGCAAAATCAGGCGAGGCGGGAGGCTCTGCACGGTGCGAGGCCTCCACACCCACCACGCGACTCTGAGGTAAAATACATTTCACCAAAATAACTCTTTTGTTGTACATTATGTAAACATGGTTTCACAACGCTTATACACAACACCAACGTGTGATGTTGCAGAATGAGCGGCGGGGTATAGAAAATGAACTTGATTGTCGCTTACGCCTGACGACTCGTGAGAGCCGTGACCAGCAAACGAAGGTTTCCGGCACCCGAACTTTGAAGGACACACATGGAAGCTTTCTCACGAGTAAGTGGTGGCTCTGAAAAGAGCCTTTGTGTTGTGCTTTGAGGGCCGAGCTGGGCGTTCAAGCGCGCTCGCCACGAATGCGGCGGGCGAGCTGAATGTCCTTGGGCATGATGGTGACGCGCTTGGCGTGGATGGCGCACAGGTTGGTGTCCTCGAAGAGCGCGACAAGGTACGCTTCGCTGGCCTCCTGCAGAGCCATGACAGCGGAGCTCTGGAAGCGCAGGTCGGTCTTGAAGTCCTGCGCGATCTCCCTGACGAGGCGCTGGAAGGGCAGTTTGCGGATGAGCAGCTCGGTGGACTTCTGGTAGCGGCGGATCTCGCGCAGAGCGACGGTGCCGGGCCTGTAGCGGTGAGGCTTCTTGACGCCGCCCGTGGCCGGAGCGCTCTTTCGGGCCGCCTTGGTGGCGAGTTGCTTGCGGGGGGCCTTGCCGCCCGTGGACTTGCGAGCCGTCTGCTTGGTGCGAGCCATGGCTTGGTGAGGGCAAAGATTCTCACAGGCGGGGAGGAGAAGGCGGCTTATGTAGCCCAGAGCGCGCGCTCACTGGTCAGCGGAGTCGTGACGTGCGAAGAAGGGGCGCGTGCTGATTGGTTGGCAGCGTGCAATGATCTCGAGTCGTCAACTCTTCTTCATCAACGAAATGTTCTCACTTTGGAGCATTGCAGAATGCCGCATCACGATGCAGTAGTTCCGTTTGAGCGCCGTCCATGTCTTAACGGATGTTATTTTCTCAAGCAAACACCTTTCCGAAGACAACTTTACAGTGCTCCGCGTGATCTAAATAAAGTGTGAAGAAACTGCACTTCATTGGAAACAGTAATACGTAAAAATTATTCTTTGGTTCTTTCGGTAAAGTCACGTATAAAGAAAAAATAATAATTAATAATAGCATACGACGTTTCGATTGCAACACAAGCAATCATCATCAGGTATAATGAAATAGCGACATAAAATCGAACCAGAAAAAATTATAGACAGACATATAAGCAGACAGATATCACCAATTTGTTTTTTTATATACGTGACTTTACCGAAAGAACCAAAGAATAATTCCTGCAGTCACGAAAGCTCCAAAGTTAATACGTAAAATTGTCGGAAAGAGGTGATCACAGGGATAGATATCTATTCTCTTGGCATTGAGATGATGATCATCAATTATACTGCACGAGTCATCCATGCTAGGCGCTTACTTTTACATAGATGTACACGTGCAAAATGTTAGTTCCTGCCCGAAAATACAACCACGAATTAAATATATTGCATTGCAAGGTTTTGGCACCAAATATCCAATGTAATATCTGAATGGGCTGCAGATGAAATCAATGGACAAACAAGTCCAAGAAATGCCTGCTGGTGAATATGATGTGCCATGAATATTGTTATCGCTTTTATTCACGTGGAAACAGGTTAAAATGCGTTCCATCTCTCCATTCCACTCAATGAGCGAACAATGTCCCCGCGTGAACCGGGGCTTTGTTGGAAGTTTCGTTTAGTACTCCTGCTAGGACTGGTACAAGCAGGTTCGGAGAGGTGGGTGGCTCTGAAAAGAGCCTTTGTAATTAATGGTGGAGTCGAGGCTTCACTTGGAGCTTGTGTACTTGGTGACGGCCTTGGTGCCCTCCGACACGGCGTGCTTGGCCAGCTCGCCGGGGAGCAGCAGTCGCACTGCGGTCTGGATCTCCCGAGAAGTGATGGTGGAGCGCTTGTTGTAGTGCGCCAGGCGGGACGCCTCGGAAGCGATGCGCTCGAAGATGTCGTTGACGAACGAGTTCATGATGCTCATTGCCTTGGACGAGATGCCGGTATCGGGGTGCACCTGCTTCATCACCTTGTAGATGTAAATGGCGTAGCTCTCCTTCCTGCGGTGGCGTCGCTTCTTGCCATCCTTGCGCGTAGCCTTGGTCACAGCCTTCTTGGAGCCCTTCTTGGGAGCAGGAACCTTGGCCGGCCCAGCGCTCTTTGATGCGGGAGGATCGGGCATGTCGACGCGTCGTAGGCAGCAGCTTCAGGTCAGAACAGACGGGAAGCGAATGTGGATGTCGCTCGCGCGTTGAGCTCCTTTTATAGGAGGCGAGATGCAAATCAGAGGATCGTAGTGCGCGGCGCTGCTGAGTGGCTCTTTTAGTACCGTCCCTCTCCATCAGCCTCCAATGAGAAACGCGGACGCGATGTTCACTTTAATATCGATTTTACTGCAAAAAGGACTTGTGAATATAACACAATGTAATGTCCAAACATGTGTATTAGTGAATTGCAGCCATGGCATTGCCTTTGTTTTAAAAAGGATGACTAGAAAACCCAATACAGTATATTGTGTTTTGAGCGTGGGTTTTTTTGTTTCTTACGAGGGATTGTTTCACCACTCGTCTAATACGGCGCACGGGCGTTTTATGAACGCAATTTGGAAAAATACAAGCGCTCGGTGGAGAAAAATAACTTCGCTGTTGTGCTGTACAGGTGGAGATTAGCATTCCGGCACGCTCCGTCAATTAGGACGAGTGTGCTGTAAGATTGTGGCGCCAAATGCTCTACGTAATATCGTATTCGGCTGCAGCTGGAAATAATTAACGCAAAATACCAGAAATGGGTTACTGTATTAAGGCGTTCAAGAATTACGCCTTGTTAAATGTGACGTGAATATCATGATTTCTTTCATTCATTCATGTGGAAGCAGATGAAGATTCGCCAACTCAACAAGCAAACGTCCAGCACGCTCACAACAACCCAGGACATGTGCTCCATTCAGAGCGTGTTTGGCAACACTGGCGCAAGCAGTTTCGAAGAGGTGGGTGGCTCTGAAAAGAGCCTTTGGGTTGGCTTAGTGTGCGAGAGATGGGCGCTCAGCCTCCGAAGCCGTAGAGAGTGCGGCCCTGGCGCTTGAGGGCGTAGACCACGTCCATGGCGGTGACGGTCTTGCGCTTGGCGTGCTCCGTGTAGGTGACGGCGTCGCGGATGACGTTCTCAAGGAAGACCTTCAGGACGCCGCGGGTCTCCTCGTAGATGAGGCCCGAGATGCGCTTCACACCGCCGCGGCGAGCGAGGCGGCGGATGGCGGGCTTGGTGATGCCCTGGATGTTGTCGCGCAGCACCTTGCGATGGCGTTTTGCGCCTCCCTTGCCGAGCCCCTTACCGCCTTTACCGCGTCCAGACATTGCGACTACTTGTGACAAAGCTCCTCGCGAGAGACTGCGCGCTCAGCTTGCAGCAGCAGCCGCCTTTATACCCGAAGCGTGGCGACGTCACCGACCACCCCTGCCCTCCGCGATGGCTCCGCCTTAAACCTTCCACCTTTAACCTCTGCGACGAAGAAAACCCTCCACCGTCGTCAATAACACTTCCTTGACATGTATAATATGCGACGTTTTGGGCAATGACCCTTCTTCGAAGCACTCTGGAATGATATTGGCACACCCGCAGCGAACGCCAGAGGAACGCCATCTGTTGCAAGATTGCACGTGGAGTGAATAATACAATAGTTGAGTGAACGTCACCAACTAGTTCTCCCAAAGTAAGAAAGACATTGCAAACAATGCGATATTTACGTATAGAAATTAATTTAATAGAGAAGTTTAGATGGTGCACCGCAATGTTTACAAACAAAAACAAAGTGAAAAGGCGGAACTGAGCGAATGAAGGCAAATGAGTAAAGCTGTCTGGAATCAATACATTTTTAGACTAAATTCCATATTTGGCACCAGTAACATGATGACGGAATGAAGAGGTGCAACACATAATCAAAATTGGAGATTCGTCAGAATGCATCGATTTTGAATCTGGATTTAGATTAGAATCGCCAGCGAGAATGCTGACGTCGCTGAGATTACTCTGCACTCAGTTCGAGTGAGGGAGCTGCCACCCGCCTCGCCTGTGTTTGTGATCCCTGCTTTCGGGCTCGATCACTCCCATCACATCAATGCTTAAAACACATCGAGTGGGTGAAATGTTACACAGTTAATTTGAACTAATTGAAGCGCAGCAGCATCTGGTTCACTTTTTTAACGAAGTGGGTGGCTCTGAAAAGAGCCGTTGAGGTGGAGTGAATCGAGCGTCGGTCGTCCCATCGGATTCACTTCTTTGGCGCAGTCTTCTTGGGCTTGGCCGCGGCCTTCTTGGGCTTGGCCACCTTGGGTTTGGCGGCCTTGGCCTTGACGGTCTTGGGCTTAGCGACCTTGGGCTTCGCAGCCTTGGGCTTGGCTGGGCTCTTCGCCGCCTTCTTGGGCTTAACAGCCGACTTCACCTTTTTGGGGCTCTTGGCCGCCTTGGCAGCCGCGGGCTTCTTTGCTTTCTTGGGAGACTTCTTGGGCGCGGTCTTCTTGGCTGCCGCGGGCTTCTTCACCTTCTTGGCTGCCGCGGGCTTTTTAGCTGCGGGCTTTGCCGTTGACGACTTGGGCTTCGCCTTTGCGGCAGCCTTTTCCTTGTTGAGTTTGAAAGAGCCAGACGCGCCGCTGCCCTTCACTTGCGCCACGGCGTCTTTGGCCACGAGCTTCTTGATGGCCAACTTCACGCGGGCATTGTTCTTCTCCACGTCGTATCCTCCGGCAGCAAGCGACTTTTTGAGCGCAGGAAGAGACACGCCGTTCCTCTCCTTGCTGCTGGCCAGAGCCTTGAGGATGAGCTCGGACACGCTGGGGCCGACCTTCTTGGCCTTTGGAGCGGCGCGCTTCTTCTTGGGGCTTTTAGGCGCTGAAGTAGCCGCAGCTGGTGGTTGAGCAGGAGCAGTTTCCGCCATCTCAAGACGTCGCTTTTATCGCCTCGCCTCTTTGAAACCGAAATCAGCGCTCTCACGAATTCGAACCGAGCGTCCTCCAGGCCCGAGGTTATTATAGAAGCGGCGTACTGAAAGCGGACGTCGCTGAGATCATCCAGCACTCAGCTCTAGTGAGGGAGTTCCCACCATACTCACTGTGTTTATCACGCCTGCCTTTGGGCTCGATTACTCCCGTAACGTTCATACTTACATGCATCTAGTTAATACATCATCACGAAGATCACTTCTTTAATGTACGTTACTTATGCAATATACGACAATGCTCACGATATAAATTATAATTCTAAACAAGTGAACAACCAACATTTGGGAGACATTGTTCGGTCAGGGCAAGATATGATGATTGTCGGTTTTCAAAAGTGTTACTGATGAACACTATTTAAAACGCACTCGAATTTTTTGCAAGACAAGATGCTTCAACAGACTACTCATATTTAATTCCAACAAAATATTTTCTATTTAAGTTTTGCCTCGCGCGCTCGCGATTCCTCCTCTCGCGCTATGGTGAGGACTGCGCGCCATGTCTGGTGAGAATAGAGGGGAGTGTGGAGATCTGGTGAGAATAGAGGGGAGTGTGGAGTTCCGGTGAGAATAGAGGGGAGCGTGGAGTTCTGGTGAGAATAGAGGGGAGTGTGGAGTTCCGGTGGGAATAGAGGGGAGTGTGGAGTTCTGGTGGGAATAGAGGGGAGTGTGGAGTTTCGGTGAGAATAGAGGGGAGTGTGGAGTTCCGGTTGGAATAGAGGGGAGTGTGGAGTTCTGGTGAGAATAGAGGGGAGTGTGGAGTTCCGATGAGAATAGAGGGGAGTGTGGAGTTCCGGTGAGAATAGAGGGGAGTGTGGAGTTCTGGTGAGAATAGAGGGGAGTGTGGAGTTCCGGTGGGAATAGAGGGGAGTGTGGAGTTCCGGTGGGAATAGAGGGGAGTGTGGAGTTCCGGTGAGAATAGAGGGGAGTGTGGAGTTCCGGTGGGAATAGAGGGGAGTGTGGAGTTCTGGTGAGAATAGAGGGGAGTGTGGAGTTCTGGTGAGAATAGAGGGGAGTGTGGAGTTCCGGTGAGAATAGAGGGGAGTGTGGAGTTCTGGTGAGAATAGAGGGGAGTGTGGAGTTCTGGTGGGAATAGAGGGGAGTGTAGAATTCCGGTGAGAATAGAGGGGAGCGTGGAGTTCTGGTGAGAATAGAGGGGAGTGTGGAGTTCTGGTGAGAATAGAGGGGAGTGTGGAGTTCCGGTGAGAATAGAGGGGAGCGTGGAGTTCTGGTGAGAATAGAGGGGAGTGTGGAGTTCTGGTGAGAATAGAGGGGAGTGTGGAATTCCGGTGAGAATAGAGGGGAGTGTGGAGTTCCGGTGAGAATAGAGGGGAGTGTGGAGTTCCGGTGAGTATAGAGGGGAGTGTGGAGTTCCGGTGGGATTAGAGGGAAGTGTGGAGTTCTGGTGGAAATAGAGGGGAGTGTGGAGTTCTGGTGGAAATAGAGGGGAGTGTGGAGTTCCGGTGGGAATAGAGGGGAGTGTGGAGTTCTGGTGGGAATAGAGGGGAGTGTGGAGTTTCGGTGAGAATAGAAGGGAGTGTGGAGTTCCGGTTGGAATAGAGGGGAGTGTGGAGTTCTAGTGAGAATAGAGGGGAGTGTGGAGTTCCGGTGAGAATAGAGGGGAGTGTGGAGTTCCGGTGAGAATAGAGGGGAGTGTGGAGTTCTGGTGAGAATAGAGGGGAGTGTGGAGTTCCGATGAGAATAGAGGGGAGTGCGGAGTTCCGGTGGGAATAGAGGGGAGCGTGGAGTTCCGGTGGGAATAGAGGGGAGTTTGGAGTTCCGGTGAAAATAGAGGGGAGTGTGGAGTTCCGGTGGGAATAGAGGGAGTGGTGGAGTTCCGGTGAGAATAGAGGGGAGTGTGGAGTTCCGGTGGAATAGAGGGGAGTGTGGAGTTCTGGTGAGAATAGGAGGGGAGTGTGGAGTTCTGGTGAGAATAGAGGGGAGTGTGGAGTTCCGGTGGGAATAGAGAGGAGTGTGGAGTTCCGGTGGGAATAGAGGGGAGTGTGGAGTTCAGGTGAGAATAGAGGGGAGTGTGGAGTTCTGGTGAGAATAGAGGGGAGTGTAGAATTCCGGTGAGAATAGAGGGGAGCGTGGAGTTCTGGTGAGAATAGAGGGGAGTGTGGAGTTCTGGTGAGAATAGAGGGGAGTGTGGAGTTCCGGTGAGAATAGAGGGGAGTGTGGAGTTCTGGTGAGAATAGAGGGGAGTGTGGAGTTCTGGTGGGAATAGAGGGGAGTGTAGAATTCCGGTGAGAATAGAGGGAGCGTGGGAGTTCTGGTGAGAATAGAGGGGAGTGTGGAGTTCTGGTGAGAATAGAGGGGAGTGTGGAGTTCCGGTGAGAATAGAGGGGAGCGTGGAGTTCTGGTGAGAATAGAGGGGAGTGTGGAGTTCTGGTGAGAATAGAGGGGAGTGTGGAATTCCGGTGAGAATAGAGGGGAGTGTGGAGTTCCGGTGAGAATAGAGGGGAGTGTGGAGTTCCGGTGAGTATAGAGGGGAGTGTGGAGTTCCGGTGGGAATAGAGGGAAGTGTGGAGTTCCGGTGGGAATAGAGGGGAGTGTGGAGTTCTGGTGGGAATAGAGGGAGTGTGGAGTTCCGGTGGGAATAGAGGGGAGTGTGGAGTTCGGTGAGAATAGAGGGAAGTGTGGAGTTCCGGTTGGAATAGAGGGGAGTGTGGAGTTCTGGTGAGAATAGAGGGGAGTGTGGAGTTCCAATGAGAATAGAGGGGAGTGTGGAGTTCCGGTGAGAATAGAGGGGAGTGTGGAGTTCTGGTGAGAATAGAGGGGAGTGTGGAGTTCCGATGAGAATAGAGGGGAGTGCGGAGTTCCGGTGGGAATAGAGGGGAGCGTGGAGTTCTGGTGAGAATAGAGGGGAGTGTGGAGTTCCGGTGGGAATAGAGGGGAGTGTGGAGTTCCGGTGGGAATAGAGGGGAGTGTGGAGTTCCGGTGAGAATAGAGGGGAGTGTGGAGTTCCGGTGGGAATAGAGGGGAGTGTGGAGTTCCGGTGAGAATAGAGGGGAGTGTGGAGTTCCGGTGGGAATAGAGGGGAGTGTGGAGTTCCGGTGAGAATAGAGGGGAGTGTGGAGTTCTGGTGGGAATAGAGGGGAGTGTGGAGTTCCGGTGGGAATAGAGGGGAGTGTGGAGTTCCGGTGAGAATAGAGGGGAGTGTGGAGTTCCGGTGGGAATAGAGGGGAGTGTGGAGTTCCGGTGAGAATAGAGGGAAGTGTGGAGTTCTGGTGGGAATAGAGGGGAGTGTGGAGTTCCGGTGGGAATAAAGGGGATTGTGGAGTTCCGATGGGAATAGAGGGGAGTGTGGAGTTCCGGTGGGAATAGAGGGGCGTGTGGAGTTCCGGTGGGAATAGAGGGGAGTGTGGAGTTCTGGTGAGAATAGAGGGGAGTGTGGAGTTCTGGTGGGAATAGAGGGGAGTGTGGAGTTCCGGTGAGAATAGAGGGGAGCGTGGAGTTCCAGTGGGAATAGAGGGGAGTGTGGAGTTCCGGTGAGAATAGAGGGGAGCGTGGAGTTCTGGTGGGAATAGAGGAGAGTGTGGAGTTCCGGTGAGAATAGAGGGGAGGGTGGAGTTCTGGTGGGAATAGAGGGGAGTGTGGAGTTCTGGTGAGAATAGAGGGGAGTGTGGAGTTCTGGTGGGAATAGAGGGGAGTGTGGAGTTCTGGTGAGAATAGAGAGGAGTGTGGAGTTCCGGTGAGAATAGAGGGGAGCGTGGAGTTCCAGTGAGAATAGAGGGGAGCGTGGAGTTGCGATGTGAATATAAATCACCGCTGCAGGCTACGCACCTCCATGTATCCTCTGGAGCGCCACCCTCAGGGCCTCCTTGCAGGCGGTAGCTCTGCGCTCCAGCCTGAACATCGCCATCCTGGCCTTGTGCACCTCCCTCAGCTCAAATCCCCTGGACTCCTCCTCCTGCTGCTGCTGCTCCTCCTCCACGCCCTGCAAGATGCTCCACACGTACTCCAGGGCTTCGGCTTTAGTCTGAGCGGAGGGGGTGGTGGGGTGAGGGGGGCAAAGTTTGTGCGGTGACCAGCGGTGGCTAGGAGATGTTAACTCCCTCGCCTGGTACGTAGGAAGTCGCGGGTTCGATCTCGACCCTGACACCTCATCGGATTCCTCTAGTACAGTATACAGTAAGGGAAAAAAGTATTTGATCCCCTGCTGATTTTGTACGTTTGCCCACTGACAAAGAAGTGATCAGTCTATAATTTGAACGGTAGGTTTATTTGAACAGTGAGAGACAGAATAACAACAACAAAATCCAAAAAAACGCATGTCAAAAATGTTATCAAGTGAATTGCATTTTAATGAGGGAAATACGTATTTGACCCCCTCTCAATCATAAAGATTTCTGGCTCCCAGGTGTCTTTTATACAGGTAACGAGCTGAGATTAGGAGCACACTCTTAAAGGGAGTGCTCCTAATCTCAGCTTGTTACCTGTATAAAAGACACCTGTTCACAGAAACAATCAATTAGATTCCAAACTCTCCACCATGGCCAAGACCAAAGAGCTCTCCAAGGATGTCAGGGACAAGATTGTAGACCTACACAAGACTGGAATGGGCTACAAGGCCATTGCCAAGCAGCTTGGTGAGAACGTGACAACAATTGGTGTGATTATTCGCAAATGGAAGAAACACAAAAGAACTGTCATACTCCCTCGGCCTGGGGCTCCATGCAAGATGTCACCTCGTGGAGTTGCAATGATCATGAGAACGGTGAGGAATCAGCCCAGAACTACACGGGAGGATCTTGTCAATGATCTCAAGGCAGCTGGGACCATAGTCACCAAGAAAACAGTTGGTAACACACTACGCTGTGAAGGACTGAAATCCTGTAGCGCCCGCAAGGTCCCCCTGCTCAAGAAAGCACATATACATGCCCGTCTGAAGTTTGCCAATGAACATCTGAATGATTCAGAGGACAACTGGGTGAAAGTGTTGTGGTCAGATGAGACCAAAATGGAGCTCTTTGGCATCAACTCAACTCGCCCTGTTTGGAG